TTTTAGATTATTTTATGTTTAAAGAACATAATATAAAAATTACAGACATTCAAAAATACTTTGAATTTTTTATTTAAAAAAATAAAAAATCGCGTATGGCACAAAATTAGCAACACTAAAAATGTCTGGCAATAAAAAATTGACGTCTGGTGGATCTATCTAAAGGCAAATAATTGAAAATTACGCTTTAAAAATTCTCTTAAAGTTAAGGATTTTTACCTGTCCAGGTAAGATGCGCATTAATAAACGCAACCACTACCGCCAGCCAGGTAGCCCGGACTCTAATCGAAGTAGCAAGAAAGACAGCATATCAAAAAACCAACTGTTCTGAAATTCTTTTTCGAAAACGTTGCTAGCTCCTATACTAAATCTTTAAATGCGATTTATTCCTTCTGCATAGATTTTTTTCTAATAATCCAGATATCAAGAAATACATCTGAGAAACATTTCACATGAATTTTAAATGTATATAAATACTTAGTATGACAATATGTCTTGACAATCGCCCATATATTATGAGGTTTTTTAAACTAATGCTCCTTAAAAGAATTATACTTTCAGTTTCTGGAAAGGAAAATTACCTCGTCAAGGGTGGCTGTATCTATCTCTGAATCATTGTTGCTTTCACGCCTTCATTCTTGGACTCGATACCAAGGAGTGCATACGTTGGTCAGAAGTTACCAGTTTAACCAAGAAAAACAGTCTCATTTTACCTGATTCCATACAGATATGCACACGAGAAAAAGAGTACAATTTCAGTATGTTCTTGAGTCGGAATGAAACATTTGCTCTCATGGAACAACTAGTTGATATAGCTATGAAAAGGTAATCTGTACACAGGGTACGATACAAAGTTTCTATGTATTATTCCGCAAGGTGATTTTTTTCATGTGACATTATTTTGTGTTGTAGGCTGATTGACGATAAGAAAAGCTACAGTGAGGACAAAGAATTGCTCAACAAACTAAGGTATGAAATAAACTTGTTTCTTCCGCATAATGAAATATATGTTTTCAGTAAAAATGTTCCAAAGAAAGCTTCCTTCTTGAAACGAGATTTGGATGCGAGAGCTCAGTCTGAAGCATACAGGCTGATGTTTAGGTTACCCTCTATAGAAAAATTAGACGGCTCTATTGATTGTACCTTACTTACTCCCTACAATAAAAAACATGTCAGTGGAAGATTGTTCCTGTCACAAAACTACATATGCTTTGAAAGTAGGGTCAGTATCTGTTGAAAAATAGCTGGAATTGTTACTTTTGTAACACTGGAATATTACTTTCAGGTAAAAGCTCAGGTTAGCCTTGTGATACCATTACGAGATGTTGGTTTAGTAGAAAAAATTGAAACAAATGTCTCAAATCAATCATTGGATAAAGCTATTATTATTTCAACAGGGGATGAACTGAACAAAACTAATTTCATCTTTGCTCAAATTCTTGACAGGGATTTTCTTGTGGAAAAAATATCTGAACTGTTATCGAAAACCCAAGGGTATATAAGGTAATGTAACTTACTCCACTGAAAGTTATTTCAACAAATCAGGATTTTCATCATATTGGTAAATCTCGAAAATTTTAATTTCACTGAACACCTAGTTAATTGGGCTAGAATAACATTTACTTGCTGTATGCAACAAGACATAATCTGAGATTGTAAAATTAAGGTATATAATAGTATCTTCAGGCATATCCTCAATTTATAATATTTGCAGGTGATTTAAATATTCACACACCTATTAAATCTCACAACGTTCAAAAAATCATAGACATAGAACAAATTACTTATACAGCTACCGGCCTGAATCATGGAAGAAATTGTATCTTATCTTCACAAGTTTCACTATTTAAAATGTGTTTATGCAATTTACTTTTAAACTCCATTACTAACTGAATAAAGTCCTAAATTTGGATGTTTACGGCTTGAATAATCTAACAGAGTGATAACATATTTCTACACATCTACTGCACATCTTGAAGGAGGGGCTTCTCATCGGCCATGACTTAGTCCGGCAGCTGTATTATGGGTTTGTTAAAAACTGCAAGAAGACTAGAAAAATCAGCAACAAAACCATTTCATAGACTTTAGTTCATTAAGATTAATTAGACAAGTTAATAATAACAGGCATCTAGATGCCTACGAGAGTGTAGAAATAAGTAAACATAATGATATTATGAATAACGATGGTGGACCTATACCTAATAGTATACTACACAGCTTCTTGAAATAATATTTTAATTATCAGATTCACCGGACTATTACATAAGGCAACATTGTGAAATTAATTTAAGACACAGGTACCTAGAACATGGTATAAATAAGGATAACATTGTACGTATATTTAGTTTAATCCTCCTGTTGAAGATGATCACTTGATGATCGAAACACGTGTCAAAGTGTTGAAAATAACGGTTTGGTGTTTGGATAAAACTCCAGTAATATTCTATAACGAATGTTTGGAGTACAAACTGAATAGGAAAAAGTGATATTCATATAATTCAATATTCATATGCAAATAGTTATTTCGAAATTATTTTTTCTTTCGTGTAATTCAATGTTTATGTGAATGTAGTTCTTTCGGGAGGACTTTTTTTCCAGTTTATGTCTGAAAGTGACTTCTATGCATGATCTACACATCTTTGTAAAGAGTTTATTTTTATCTTACTTGCTTTTTTCTGTCGTTAGGAAGTTCATCACATTTTTTTTTTTTAATCAAAGATGGAGAAGTGAATGCCATAAGCTTTTTCCCAAAAACCTATATCTTCGAAAACTATACCTCTTTCGATTTAATTATGAAATTAATAAATCAATTTCAAGTATCATGCTCGAGTCGATAATAAACATGTAACTAAGCTGGTAACATATACTGATCTCATAACTAGGACTCATGAATGACAGTAACTTTAAATAGAATGAGCCAGTAGACATACTCTACACGACATGGGAGAGAGTTCATTCGACAATGTAGTAGTTTGAACTGATCAAATTTCTGGGTGGTGTTCTATAAATGGCCCGCTGCTAAATTCTGCTAAATCTCAAATGCTCAACTTTGTTACTGAAAATACAACAATTGATAAAAGCTATTTGGTTAGATTAAATAATGAGACTTTACATCAAGTTAATTGTACTAAATTCTTAGGTGTTGATATTGATAATCAATTATTCCTAGAAATGAGAAAATCCATGAACATTTCATTAGAAATAACACTCAACTACATCAACCTTATAGTAGATTGACAGTATCAAAGAATCACTCCATGTGCATTTGGGTTAAGCTATATAATAAGCTTAGTGAGGACATTAAATCCTCAAATATCAATGTCTTTAAAAGGCGACTCAATATTTTTCTTTTGCAAAAAGCATACTACTCTGTGGATGAGTTTCTCCTTGAATTCCAATTTGATTGTATCTTATTAACTTTTTTTATGTATGTATCCTCTTTAATATTACTGGAGTTTTTTCCCAACACCAAATCGTTATTTTTAACACCTCGACACGTGTTTTGATCACCAAGTGATCATCTTCAAAGAGGAAGATTAAAGTTTTAACACGTGTCGAGGTGTTAAAAATAACGATTTGGTGTTGGGAAAAAACTCCAGTATTATTCGTTACTACACAAAGGTTCCAAACAGTGCATCATAAGTATGTTTTATATTGATTTTTTTTATGTTTGTTTGACCTGTTGAATCAGCCAGTATTTTATGATGATGTTATGTTTTTTTTGTCTGATGTGATTGTGAAGGAAAACTTATTCAATAAAAGTTTGATTGATTGATTTTATCTAACAAGATAGCATCAGTCGATGATGAATGAATTCTTTCTATTCAGGCATGACTTGAACGAAAAGCCTAATTCAAGTGGAGACGGGCAAAAATTAAAAGTGGATAACCAGTGGAGATGTCAGCAAGCTTTAATGAAAATGTTCCCTTTGAGCCCAATTCCGGATGTAAATAGAAAGCAAGTGCACAAGGCGAGGCAATGGGAGGAACACTTCAACGTATATGGCAGAGGTATTTCTATGTATAGAACCACGGAAGTCGCCACGCTTGTTTTGCAAGGAGTACCAGATCATTTGAGGATGGATATATGGATGTCTTTCTCAGGTGAGACAAAATAATGTAACAAAACAAAGATGATTATTCTCATTATCCCCTCTTCTGTGCGTATTTCAGGTGCGGCAAACGAAAAAGCTTCCCATCCGGGATATTACAAAAATCTTGTAGGGAAAGCTCTCGTTCAACAGTCAACAGCAAATGATGAGATCGAACGAGATCTTCACCGTTCCCTGCCCGAACATCCTGCCTTTCAAAGTCCGATCGGTATAGATGCTTTAAGAAGAGTTCTTTGCGCTTATGCGCTTCATAATCCTAGCATAGGTTACTGTCAAGCAATGAATATTGTTGGTAAGTACATTGTGTGTTTAAGATAATGGTAATAATCGGCTTCATTCATTGATAAGAGTAGGTTAGGTTAGGTCCAAAGTGAGTGGGTCTATTCGACCCTCCAACGCAACCCGTAAGGGTTTATTGTGGCTCACACCTATTCACACTCAACCGAACTCTAAAAACCTGATTTAATCCTCAGCGGGGCAGGCACATAGTATGTGCTCTGCTGTTTCATCATTTTCCAAACAGAGGCGACACACACACTGTCTTCCGACAGTCCAAGTCTCTGCATATGATGATTCAAATGACAGTGACCTGTAAGAAGGCCTGTTAGACATCGTAGTTCTCCCTACTGTAGTCCAACAAATGTTTGGTATCAAGCTTCGGAGGGTGAATAAACGCCTTGGAGTGAGCCAATCCTGGAAGATTCTTCCAGAAGTCCATGAATCTTCTTGTCATCCAGGTGTTCAATCTTTGTTTGGTCCGAAAGTCTGAAAGTACTTACATAATATCTTATTCTTCATTTATTTTTATTCTGTTCGTATTTATTCTGTTATTATTTTGTCCTCAATATAAAATTTATTCATACCAAATTTATGGTATTAATTTAAGACTCATAAAGCACTTGGGAATGTGATTCGAATTAAAAAATCATCAAATTATCAATAATGTCTAACCTAGATTGTCAGTAATAGCCACTTTATTGTCCCAAATAAAGTGAAATTAGAAATATGATAATAACAAACCTTAGTGCCGCTCAGAAAATTTGAACACCGTCGAGCAGTAAAGTCTGTCAAATTTTAACGCTTCTGCAGTGGTTGATGCCCATGAAAATACGGAGTAAGAATTACAGAATCGGATTGATGTTGAGACTGGAACTTGATGAAATTTATGCTAGATTGTCATTGTTATTTAAAATTTGAAACCCGTTTTCCATGAAACACTTGTAATTTGTTATACAAAACATTATATTCTCTTCTAATAATTTTATCACCTCAAAGTTTTCATATCGTCCTATCACAATCTTGGAATACATCCAGGACAGGAAATAATACATCGCTGGTATCACATATTTTTCCACGGGAAAATCCTGAGGATGTAACGCCATATCATTACTTGGGACTTCCTACAATACTCCGCTGTGATGAAATTGGGATATCATTCAAATCTAACCTAGAAATGAACAAAACATATCCCAATGCCATCCAGCTACAAGGGCTGTATTATAATATCCTGTTAATATTTATGGGATTCTTAACGAGAATTTCTGCGGTACAAATGGATGATCCAATTGGAATATCCCAACGAAATGGTTTGCTATCTGGGAAAAAATACACTATTTATGCATTTCGTTGTGGTTCCAGAGTAATTAATTGTGAGTAGGCTGAGTGAGAATTGTGGGGCATTCATCAGTTCAGGGGCGGGGCGGCGATTTCTGGATAGCTTCGTTGACGGTAGATTTTCAAACTCGTCTCCGAATTCAGAATGAAGAACATTGAAACTAATTTTCAAATCAGTTTTTCTTGTGTTGATTACGTTATCATGACAATCAGGACGATCTTAGAATATTCTTCAAAGGTGGTCATACTGTTGCACGAGATCACACTCAATAAAAATAAGGTAACTATTTTGAACTACTTAGGTTTATTGATGAGAAATTTATGTTTTTATGCATCGTAATGTATCTGATTGAATTTTGTAATATAGCACAAAGAAATATAATTGTTCATTTATCACGATTTATAAACTTTCCAAATATATAGGTATATAGGTATAGAATTATTTCTGGTTAAGAAGTAAATGTATGCGGTAATTACTGCGCCTGCGGGAAATTAATTTGAGAAACTCGAAAAAAAAATTAAATCAAATCCATATTTTCAGCATCCGTCCTTTTGATATATTGCAACGAAGAAGAAGCCTTCTGGCTATTGGCTACACTGTGTGAAAACCTCTTGCCTGATTATTATAATACTAGAGTAATTGGAGCTGTTGTTGATCAAGGTATATTAGATGAGCTGACACTTGAATTCTTGCCTAATTTGCACGATAAACTAAATCAGCTAGGTTCGTAGAACACACTTGTAAGAAACTGGCATCTAAGTTATTTATTTCTATAGGTATGACGAACATGATCTCCCTGTCTTGGTTTCTTACAATTTTTCTATGTGTAATGCCTTATGAAAGTGCTGTAAATATTATGGATTGCTTTTTTTACGATGGTGCTAAAGTAATTTTCCAAGTCGCATTGATGTTGTTAGAGTGGAATCAAGATAAACTTCTAGAATGCAGGGACGAAGGTAATTTTTATTCCAGTAGAAAGAAATACTAATTCCATTGCAATTACTTGAAATGATTTAACATTTTAAAAACTGCTTTAGGAGAAGCTATGCAACTTCTGGCTGAGTACTTGATGGGTGTATTCAATGATGAAGGAAGAGGTGCAATCAGGAACAAAAATTATGAGGAACAAAATAGGGTAAGTAAACAATCTTTAAAAAAAAAATCAAATGAATGAAAAATTTTTAGAGTATGTCTGTTCAACTTCTTGTTTACGAAGCATATCGGAAGTACGGATCAATAACAACAGGACAAATAGAGAGGCTTAGACTAAAACATAGGTTAAGAGTTGTTCAAGATTTGGAAGACACTTGCGAAAGAAACGTCCTGAGATGTGTCTCAGTAGATGGTTTTTTCACAACGGAAGAATTACAGGTGATAATTATTCAAGTTCTTATTTATTATTCATGTATTTTCATTCACATACTTTTTTCTTTTTTTTAATGTTACTTTTTTCCAGTAAAGTATATGAAACATAAATACTTCACTGTAATTTGAAGTTTTTTTTTTCTACAGGATCTCTTAGCTCTAGTCAGGGAAGAAATTATAAGGCAACAAAAATGTGTACCAGATAAATATGATCCAACATTCCAACCTTATGAAGCCTATAAAGTAGATTTTGATTACTTTAAAATACTATTTGCTGCCTTATCGCCATGGGGAAAAGGAGAAACGGCGGAATCCTTAGCTGCCAGAATATTTATGGTATGATCAATTATGAAGTAATTTTTTTTTGTAATTTTATAGATTCAATAATTTCAGCTAATGGATCAGAATAGAGATAGTTATCTGAATTTCCGTGAACTAGTCACTGCTCTAGGGCTCACTTGTACAGCTGATCCGGCCCAAAGGCTCAAATTATTGTATACCATTCATTTACCGCCCATCTTAGTTATGTCCGACATTGAATCGCCTATCAAAAATGAATGTGGTGCTGAAATTGCTTCGGAGGCATCCGATTTCTTCACGAGTGTAGAGCAGAGTATGAGCAGCATTAGTATAGAGCCTACATCACCTGTATCACCGTCGTTTCAATGGCAGTAAGTGCAGATATCTTTCAGTCACACATTATTAAACTCTTACCTGATGAAGTATTTTACTTCAATCATGATTGAACAAGTTTTTTTTATATCTCACTTCAACTAGTACCAAACTCACTTTGAATTTCATCACAGGGTTTATTAAAAATTCTCTATTGTTGATAATGTTTGTAGGTTTGGATGATTATTCTTCTTTTCTACATTGGAGGGTTTGGAGTTGAAACTATAGGGTATTTCAAAATAGTTTAGTAGTCATTGTTTAGAAATGTCAATTTTGGAACATAATTAAAATCTAGAACAATATTTTACCCCAATCATGCAAGATATATTAGGTATCTATGTGCAGATCATCTGCATTAGGCTAACTCCCTCAGTTTCCAGAATATTTCAAAATATGACAGCAACACCAAATAAATTGATATATGTATGATAATGCAATAGTAGCAATGGTGTTGTTGATCTTTTTGCAAATTACTTTTCTACTGTAGAACTGTTACAGCTAGACAAAAGCATCTAATCTCGTTGGTTTGTTTGCGATAGGTTAAGTTGTCACACCCTGTAATAACTTAGTTCAGTTGGTTACAGAGTGGTCTGTATAAAGTCTGCGGAGTTCAAAGAGAAAATCTTGATATCTTATCCGTTTTTTCTTTTTTCTCCTCTTTTCGGACGATATCCGTCTCGCCCGGAGTTGAAAACTCTACGACATATATCGTCTTGCTCTAGTGGTCGAGAAGTACTACATCAGGCTTATTAGCTTTTATGAGCCTGAGGGTGGAGAACGAATAGTTCCCACATAACGGATTCAGTATCTCCAGAGCATAGCGCAACACAGGTGTCCCGTCGATACCGTAAGAGTGCCTTAGGTGGTAATGAAGCACTCTTGGGACAGCATTATGTCAATGGATCTAGGCCGACATCGCATATGCTGGACATGCTAACAGCAAGTGCGGTAGACTAAGGTGTTGAAGACACCATTCTGGCAGGCCATGATGAACCCTCTCAGTTTCCGACTTCAGCCCACTCGACCTGAGGAAAGCCGAGGTCTTCAATTTTGTCGAAGAAGACTTCATACATTGGCTTATCCTTGTATTACCGCAGAAGTGATGTGATCTCAGCGGCTTTTATATGAGCCTTTTGCTGAACGTGTTAGGAATCACACATTAAAAGGTAAGACCTCGTTAATCCTTAGCTCACACAAGTTTCGACTTCTGAGGGTTGTCGTTCGTAGGGGTGCGACAGCTGGTTAATATTTTAAACGGGTTCCAACTCGGTCACAAAGTTGTGATCACCTCGTTCAACGTCAAAAACTATAACGAGTTCACCAGCTGCTCGGGTAGCTACCCCAAAGAGAAATCATTATTAATAAATGAACATGCTCCACTTCAGTTACCAAATAACATTCACAAGAATTGAGAACCTTATTGAATGTTCTTATAAAACCAAAAACATTAATCTGCCATTGACCATGGGAGTGTTCTTTGATACTTAGGTAACCTTCAAAGGTATTATTCTTCACATTGTATCCAGGTCCAACCATCCACAGACAAGTTTTCTGTAAAATATTGTATAGTTCTGGTACATTCAGTCTGAGAATATAAATTGTGGAATATGAAGCCTTCTAAATCAGACAGATGCTTCTAAGGTTCATAAAGCACAAAACATATTTCTGAGGTCATGTGCATTTCATCTTGGAGCTGAGGACCGACTACAAGTACTCTAATATTCTACTACTTTCGATTTTATCTATTATAGAGCACCGACGAGACGAAATTGACTTGAAACTTCCACGTAAGCTATGGTCATCCAGGTTTAACTCAACTAATTAATTTGAAAGTGAAGTCACATGTCAGAGTTGTTCAAGGTTCCTCGCCATAGTAATAATTAGTAATGGATTATTTACTAGAATTCTTAGGCTAGCAAACAAGGATAGCGTCGTTATTGATTTCTTTAATTCATTCATGTATTTTTTGAAAATCAGGTGGAACACATTATCCTACTATTAAGAAACTTCTGACCAATAATTGATATCTATATATTTTCAGTATTCCAGTTTATTGTAAAACTGCAAGTCTGTAAGTAAATAAATATTCATCATACATTTCTCAATATGGCAGAAAATTGATTTTAAATTAGTACCAGCTTCTATTCCAATTTATATATTTTTTTTAGAAAAGGAAACATTTGCCACAAAATTTTACTTGTCATACCTCTTAAATGATACATTTTTTTCTGAAAGATACACTGAAAACTGGTTTTGAGATGTACACTTTTTCTCTAGTTTCATATATATCCATATGCGTGTTTGTGAAGAAATAAAAGTATTTTTCAGGTTCAATAATTTTTTTTCCTTTTCACAAAGTTATATGTTACAAATGTACCGTTTATACTTTTTCATTCCATTATACAATCATGATCCCAGTCAGGCTCAGGAGGATTCATTGTTTTCTGACGACTGTATGAACCTTTACCGGATTTCTCTGATTTTCTTTTACTTTGAAGTAACCTTATCTGTGCCAATTCCTACAAAAGATATAAAAAATTATTGAATTAATAGATATTATCATCGTTTCGAATTTTCAACCATAATATTATGTGGTAAGGTTTAGGCATCATAAAAGGTATTCATCAACATTAGGAACAATAACAATGTAACACAATAAATTATTCTGGGAATTATTTGCTTTAGGTACGGTGAAGGTCTTCCCAGATGTATATAAAATCATTGAAGTAAACGTGAAAATGTAGTTCTAGTCATCTCCTAATGATGCTAACTAGGTTAGCGAAATTTGCGTCAAGAGATAGCATTTTGTTTTCATATTGGATAAGTGTCGTAATAGATTAAATTTACGCCATTCTACCCACCTTTTCAACAAGTTATTCAAAACAAATCAATGAAAGCAATCCATTCAGAAATCTCACCTTACTGCTGCAACTTTGAATTTTCACTTGTGGCATAACACTTGGTTCCACATTTTTCAAACACTCTTTCGCATTTTCATTTATTTCTGCGTTACATGTTGGTGATGGCATTCCGGCATAGCAAACTCTTTTCTTCTTTGGTAGTACAGGATTGACCTTTTTTGGTGGAGGAGGTTCCAATTTGGGAATAGTAGGTCTCCAAGTGCAGAAGTAACTTGGATCCACATCTTTTTCAACCACAACTTCGTCAGGCATCAAAGGTGCTTTGACCGTTTTGCCACAGCAGTCTACTTCTTCACAAGATTGGCCTCTGAATAGCGTTCTAAATGTCACATTAAACCATTGACCTATTGGTGGCCGAACTGAGGGGGGTTTGACTGGGTTCATATGAAGTTTTTACAGAGGATTTTGTTGATGATAATGAAAATGAAGTGAGTTGTTGACAATTACTTTTGACAATTGTGACACTGCAATACTGGATCTCAAAAATGTGTTCATGTTTCAATTTTTAGTGACTAATGTACAGTGAATATCACAATGAATGATCCAAACAAAGAAAACTATATGTTAACTCGAAGATTATCACGGACAAAGTATAATGAGCTGTTTTCTCAGGTTTCGCTCCGTGTTCTGTGTATTTTATCTTCATAAGGATTATTCCCACAACGTTTCAGCAAAGTATCATTTGCCATCTTCTCGTGATGTCTGGAGCCTAGTTGAAAAACTCCAGACATCCATAGTATGTCAGTTTCAGGGTTTCAGTTGAACAATATTTTTCAGTTGCCTTATTACAAAACAGGTTTTACTCATCTTGGTGGTTATTTTGTTTATATGATTTTTCCATGTGATTTTATTACCCAATAAATCTAATATCCAGTATGATATTTTCTACAGAGAATATTAGAAAATTGTAGATACTTTTAGAATCTTTTTTTTGTTGTGACATTTGTTGATATATTAGGTACTGTCGAGTCAGTTGAGCCCTCTGTCCAGTTTGGTGTCCAGTTCTTTTCAAAAACATATAATTTGAGAAGTAATAAAACAAATTTCAGTTTGAATAATCCCTGTTTTACATAAGTTGTTACTCGACGTCCTTATTTTTATTTAATCATTCATAAAGGTAGATAATAACACTTGATACTGTGGAAGGCGGAATGAACTCTCTTCAATTTTTGGTCTGAAATCTATGGTTAATTGTATTCTTCTGTAGGTTTCTTTTTGTGAAGATATCAACCAAGTTCCCTATTCTTTTTTATTCGTCAATAACATTTTCTGCATGAAAACACCCTAGCATTCCAAATAATAATAATAAATTGTTTATTGTTAGCCGGTAAAATAATTACAGAACTGTAAAGCTTAACCTAAAAAAAGGTTAGTGTTAGGTCAGTACACCGAGTCTTCCACACTCCCCTGAAAAATAATGAATAATGAATCGTTAATAAAAAAAAAACTACCTACTTATAAAAAAGTAAGTACCCATAACCTATATAAATAATCAATACTAAGAATATACCACTGGCTAAACAAATATAAACTAAAAAGAAGCATTTTATTCACTTGGTTATATCATTGGTAGATCAACATTTTTTTTGAAGGAATTCAAAGACAATGCAAAATTGGGAATAATCAGTAAATATGCAGTTATAGCAATCTGATAAGGTAAGGAGGATTCAATCATTTCTTTATTATGCATTGGAATATTTATGAGATTTTTTCTCCTCAAATTAAGATCATGAACTTCTGACCTGTATGTGACTCTCCTGAACAAATATTCAGGGGTATTAGTTTTAAGGATTTTATAAAAAAAAACTGAATGTAGTAAACGACAATTAGACATACTTAACCAACCCATTTCCTTAAGCTCATGTGAAATCCTATCTCTTCTTTTGAGACTAAGAATTAGACGAAGGCATGAATTTTGTACCTTTTGGATATGAAAGGCATCAGATTTCCCAAGGAAAGGACCATAAACTACGTCACAGTGGTTGAAATGTGATAGAATAATCGAGTCAGATAACATTTTTTTGTTTTTAAATTAATTTCATTTTAGAGTTTTCAGTTTAGAGGTGACATGTTTCTCGAATCACAATTTTGAGTCCAGATGTAAATCAAATTTTTTACATGATCATTGAAACTGATAACATCATCATTGATACAGATTCGTAATCTATTCATAGCTTCTATTTTTAGAATTCCATTTTCAAATGAAATGGCGCAAGATTTCGAAGAATTGATGTTTAGAAAATGTTTTTCCGTTAATGTTACGAGTCGCAATAAGTCTGCATTAATTATAACAATAACTTTTCCATTCCGTCCATATCGAAAGAAAAATACACTTGAGTATCATCGGCATATAAATGATAATTATAATGGGGGAAAATGATGAAAGTTTGAAGTATACAATGTATATAAAAGAGGACCAAGGATGCTTGCTACTTTGTGGTACACCTCGTTGAATGATTAGACTATCTGCTAATGGAAAATTAATTTTCAAGGGAGCTTATGAAAAGTAATTACAACTATCTTAATCTTTGTACCTTTGAGGAAAAATAGATAATGAAACAAAATAAGTCTCCAATAGTTCTTGAAGTTGTTTATTTTTTTATCACCCAAATCAGTAACAATGATTAGCTTTCTTTTTATGTCGTGTGTTTAATTCTTGCCAGCCAGGAGCTGGACATCCAGGAATATACTTCTTTCTCACAGCATGTAGCATAGGATATTCCTAAAAATTAATATCGTGAAGTCGAGAGTAGGTAGTAAAGTTATACCTACCTTTTTAATCAACTTCAGTTCATCATGATTTATGTGTTTGCATTTTTGTCTTTCCTGAAATTCTCTGTTGCTTTCGGTTTCCCAAGGCAAACAACCTCTCGTTACTTTTTTGTACTTGTTATATGTATGTTTAGATATTTTCCTAGCATGAAATTTGGTATTATCTGCCGATACCATTACCAATGGTTTTCCACAAGTAGCTCCACGTCTGAATAGCTGAATACATACGCGAGTTGGATTTCTCATTCCTTAGAGCAGGTACTCGAAAAATGGCTTTGGATATTATCAAAAGTGTGTTACGATGAAGAAGAATTGTACAAACTGAAGACATTGCTACATTAATTTGGATGACATTTTTTTGGTTTTTTTAGAGTTTTTTTGACTTTGTTATTGTCATCGGTTTTGTTTTGAGTTAGCTTGGCCTGCTTTGAACCATTCTTGAAAATACTCGTATGTGTGGTCATATATGTTGATATACTGTGTGTTTAATAGACAGAGTGAATTTTTTTATGAGATGCAAATATTTTCAATTTATCATTTATTTTAGATTTTGATGGCTTTTTGATTATTCTCACAACCAAACTTAGATGAAATCACCTAATATTCGGTTCTAAATTTGTATTTAAAAAATTTGGTACCTTAGTTAAAAATACATATTATTTTTTCCAGTTGCGCTTCAGTTGAAATAATAAGTAAAAAACTTCGTGCTTTTGGGTTATGTAGCAGAGGTTCCAGTTTTATCAAGACAAGGATAGTTAAAAAATGACCAAACTCCGGCAGAACATATTGACAGTGTTATTAGAATCAGTCCAGCGTATTTAATGGCGAGAGGCGGTAACAGAAATAGTTAATGTCATCATTTTCAACGAGTTTTAGTTCACTTACTCTGACCGAAATATTTTTGTCAGCCTTCACACATTTCATATATCCCCGACTTTTCATCTCCCAACACCTTTTATTCAGGGTTGTGAACTGTTGTGAACTGTCAGAAGAAAATCTTACAATAAATTGTTATTCAAATACATCGTAACTGCTTGTAACAGCAAATATGAATAGACAGTTTATTACTCCAGAAATGTTTCAAAGCAATACCATCAACAAAGAAATTTGTCAATTACAACTTCTAGAACATGTGTCATATAATAAATATGTTTTTTTTAAATATCTTGTTTTACAGAATCGTGTTTTTAAACATTTCTTCCCTTAAAAATGTTTTAATAACCTGTAATGGAAGTCGCATATTTTTACTCCTGTTGATATTTATTTCTCTACGAGATATCCTAACCATTATATAACCTTCAAATTCAATGTTATTTCAGAAAATCATACGATTCTCAGATCTCAACGGACAATAACAGTGAAGAGTTAAGTTGGGAAGCAAAAAGTATGACAAATTTGAGGAATCTCGTCCAATCCAAAGATAACAAATTCAACCTCAAATCTGTTCCAAAAATGTCCCAGGCTCACTTTATCACGTTGTGGAAAACAGTATATGATATTTTCCAAACCGAACCTGATGATTTGGTAAGTATTTTATGACCAATGAAAGACCAATCCTTTTGGAACTTATTAGCAAACGTAGTAAATAAAAATTCTGAAATTTTTGAAATTACGGAATTTGTCATATATCATTTTTTTTTTTCGTTATCTAACTGCCGTCCCATGCAAACAACACTTCAAAAGTTGAACTTGCACGAATTGAACCGATTTATAGTTAATCCAGTCACTGGATTCACTTTTTCCTCCATCTATTACTTACAGGAAGTATACCATACAATTGCAAATGTTGGTACCCTGTTGTTAGAACTTGGCGATGTTGGCAAGCAATTTTTCATTGGAAGAGATGGGTCTGATGACAGCTTGGTATCTGCTGCGACGGCTGCGTGCAATGCGGAAGCTTTAAAAGAAGGGGTAAGGTTAAAATAAAGTTTTTCAAAGTGCCGGACTCAGGTTATTTGAAAAGATGCTCTGTCTATGAGCTTCATATAGAAGTAGTGGTTCATACATTATATTTTTTCCTCTCCATTAGTATTAGTAAGTCATTAATATTTACTATAGGTAATCATATTCATACCTATTGTTTGAAATTTTGTAACGTTTAAAGGGCAATATACATAAATTAACTTCAAATTGAAAAAATTATCATTTATGTGTATTGATAAAAAGCAACAACTTATAAATTAGTGTTAGAACACAACAAAATTGATAGGTCAACTAGTGTTGAGTATTTAGGTTCGCATATAAATGAAACTCTTTTCTGGAATATACAGGATGATGTAATCCGGAAAAAGTTCACACCAATTATTGAGACACTATATAAAATAAGAAATCATATTTCTCTGCAGCATTTGGAGCTGATTTACTTTTCACTCATTCATTAGAAATTACAGTATTCGATTAGCATTTAGGAAACTGCTTCAAATACAACCTTGAAACCATAAAGTAGTTTACAAAATAAAGCCTTAAAATGCAACCAACTAAAAATCTATATAAACCAGAGCACTTATTCGACATCAATTCTATTAATAAATTGAAAATAAGTCTTTTTCTGCAGTCCTTTATAAAGAATAAACAATCATGAAGAAAATAGAATTACAACTTTTTATGTTTTTTACCATTTTCATTTGTAACTAAAGTTACTGCAGTTTCGTACTATAAGGACATTTTCAAACTTATACGTTAAACTAAAAATGATTGATTACATTAGCCCTTTTATAACACCACTATAGGTAATAATAGAGGTACTTAGCTTAATTAAGTACTTGAATTTTGTTTACTTGTGGCAATGTGAATATGCTAATTTGAAAACTGGTGAGATAATTCAATAATCTGTTACCAAAAAAGTCTCAAATCTGCACAAAAACTATATTTTACAAAGGAATAATTGTCTACAATGAATTACCAATTTTCACTCAGTTATCTCCTGCCGTGAAAGTTTATATTCTTTGAAAAATAATAATGTCAGTCATCAGAAACTTATTGTAGATAAATTTGATGAATTTGCCACCTCACTTAAAATTTTTATATTTCTATTTCCTCGTCATTTTATTAGAATATATTGAGATTAAATTTATATTCTTATCAGGAATTGACTTACATCTAGGTTATAAATCACTGTTGTTTTCAACTTGTATTCCACTTTTGTCCGGATTTTATTCACATGTTATTGAAACTATTATGAACCAAACAGTTTTATATTCAAAAGGCATTTTCTAAGTTATTTCTTGTATTTGATATTTTTTATTGACCTTCATTTTAAACAATATGAAAGCAACTATTATGAAACTGCATCACTTTGATTTTTTTTTTCAATTGAAGTCTCTATTCTCTCCGATTCAACATTATTGTGGTACCAAGTCAGTTCTATCATCATATATTGAATACAATTTGTTGAAATTGAAATATGTTTCTTTGAACCTCAAGAACCTTCCTGAACTGCCTAAAAAAAAATTAAAACTACGCCAAAGCGAAAAATGTATAGGAGTGGTAGCGGATTTTTACTGCATTCCTCAAAATTTGGTTTCTGAACAACAAAAACCCCACAGGATGCAATGTTCACTTAGTTTGAAGTATTTACTTTCAAGTGAATACCAATAAAATGCAGCTGCGCTATTTTGTGATTTGACAAAAGTTTTCAACTACTTCAATCACAAAATAAACCTGCAAAAGCGAATTTAGGATGTTATTAATGATACAAGTCTGGAGCTTACTATGTCACGGCAAAATTTGAAACTAGAGCATCCTCTAAAAATGTCAACTCTTGCAGTGTTTACATCTATTATAATTTTCATTTAGTTTGAGTTTTCTTCCATATTTGAATCGTATTAATTACTATCTCCCGCAATTTGGGATTTGACAAAAGTTTTCAACTACTTCAATCACAAAATAAACCTGCAAAAGCGAATTTAGGATGTCATTAATGATACAAGTCTGGAGCTTACTATGTCACGGCAAAATTTGAAACTAGAGCATCCTCTAAAAATGTCAACTCTTGCAGTGTTTACATCTAATATAATTTTCATTTAGTTTGAGTTTTCTTCCATATTTGAATCGTATTAATTACTATCTCCCGCAATTTGGGATTGGAGTATTATTCAAAGTATTGGACCTGACAAATGTTTCATAACCCTAGAATATAATGTCAATATCTTCAACTATTACAAAATGGCGGAACTTTTAATAATTGCCTGAATACATTGACATTTAACTACATAATATGAGGTAATAATCTTGAGGTCAGTTAAGAAGATGCTCGAAATGGTTTAAGTAGGTTTTCACGTAGGGTACTTATATATCCGGAAGGAGTGAAATTCCACGAGTCTTCCTGAAATTGCAGACACGACCAGACCAAAATTATTTAAGAAAATTGTCCTCAACCACGCTAGTTAGTGGCGTATCTCGCATCGAATTTCTTATAAAATGGACATCGGCTCTCAAGGTAGACAATCGGACGACATAGCAGGCAGTGAACGATCAAGATATAGATGAAGCCAAATTTTCCGAATACGGTTGAATCAATTGAATTTAACGTCAACGGGGTATTATCATCTGAATCTGATCCTCCTTGATCTTTTTCCTTTCTTTAGGTCTGAAACGAGAACATCGTTTCTGCAAATCTACCGCAAAAAACTAGAAATTATAATATCTTGAATTATTCACCTTAGATTATTTTTAGACCTTTGAAGTTAAATAGGTACATGATGTGTGAAATTTATTTTATCAAACATCACCGACTCTTTTCTCTGCTCGATGTTTGTTCACTGAAGCCTCGCACCGTCACTTCATTTGTCCTCTGTCCACCTGCACGCCATTTCAATTAAACTATCGAAATGTATATACAGGTTGTCCCGGTCTCTCATAAAATGAACCGTTACAATACATTGATGAGAACAATACCAGTGGTGTTAACAAAAAACCAATTATAAAGAACTATTTGAAGAGATGGGGTATTCTAACCAGTTATTGTTTGTTATATGTTGACAACGAACTTAAACCCATTCACAATAATGAATCAATTATGATAATAGGGGGTCGTTTACTTCAAATACCTTTCTACAGAATAACGACATCAGAAAGCTAAGTATAATTTTTTTTTCAATTGATTATTCGATTTGTAGGCGAAATTCATGAATATGACAAGTGATTTATATTAAGCAGCAACTTTTTGGGTAGAACTTTCCAGTTTGCCCTTTATTACACTTCAGGAGAATCTCTATTGATTTAGCTTTGTTTATTCACCAGATTGTGGAATGTAAAACGAGTATTGTGTGAAGCCTTATAAACTATTGATATTTCTGTACAAATTTCACTCCAAATGGAACTTCCTTCCTTATTTATTCTACTTTTTCTGATTGTTGAATGTGGATGTTTTTTAAATGTGATTTACTTCAAGTGTGGACGTAACTACCAAAAAACAACTGCCGGATAGGGCATGCATAGAAAGTAACAGTGGCTCAACAAACCCTCAAAAACGTGAGTTACCGTATCAAATTCAAAGTTAGAATAATAAACCTGCTTAACCTGTGTCAATCATAACTTAACGCTTCTTTTTGCCATTTCAATATAAAAATAGTCAAAACTACAACGTATTCAATATACTCCTGGTTTACTTCATGGATCCCTAAGATCTTTTACTGAACCCAAAACTATATTGTGTTGTCTTATTAGGTTCAAATCACAGCATCATGACAGAGCACTGAAGAAATCGCAATGGTCTAATAGACTACAAATTCGGTATTTTCAAATTGAGATCATTTCCAGAGAAAGGAAATGATGATATAAACGTATCCGTTGATATAATCACGCTGCCTAGGATGCACTACGTTGAGGCTACTTAAGTCGACACCCACATACTGGCTACCGGTGGTATGTATCGTTATTCAAAAAACACTTTTGTAAGATTTCCACTTGAGATTTTACAAAGCCGCGGAATGTGTTTCACTGTACAATAACATCTTCAGGCGTCATAATACATATATTAACTACCCCCTGAGCTCCACAGAAATGATCTACTGCTTGAATTTAAAAAGATTGTGGGCAAACCAGAATCAGCGGTCTATGAAAATTTCCCACAATTACAAGAACTATTGAAATCAAGAAAGCCACCCATATATGTGCAGCTGAGCAACTTCAAAATAACAACTACGACTCTTGATCTTCATTAAAAACAAATGAAAAACTACAGACTCGGTTTGAAGGCTACACCCACAGTATGGTATTAAACTGTAAACAATGGAACATTAATGGAAAAAGTTTGCAGTATAATGATTTGCTCTAAATTAATAAACATGCAATGTAACTGGCTCAATTTTTTTTCTGATACAATACAATTTATGTTTCTATACTGTGGCGTACCTACTTACTTAAAAAATAATATTTTATTCGAACCCATGGATTGCAGACTCTAGTTTTTATTTTATGGAAGTTTTCTGTCTACTTGGTACAACCATTGAGGGGCTGTGGTCAAAAAAATGTAAAATTTATTTCACAATTTCCCAAATCTGTACTTACAATTAAGAGCTCTGTGACCTACCTCGTCTACACATCATTGTATTCGTGGAATTTCTCCTTAATAAACGGAGAATGAGTAAATACACCATTAGTAAATTCCATGTGATAGTTTCAATGATCCCTATAAATGTGTTAAGGGATTAGTGGCAGATGATTTAGTAGCAAACAAGAAACTATAGACAGCTGACAAATGAATTGGACATGGTACAGTGCAGTACAAATAGTGAATTGAATATACTCAATACTGAGAAATAATTCGGGACTGGAACAACAACAATGTAAATCAATAACATATTAGAATTATTTATTTTGGTTAGAATTTACTCGTTTTTTTTTTCAGTCTCTACAAGTTATTTCGGATCTCTTCTATAGTTTCAAAGATGTTCAATTATGCTACAACCTCCAGTAGTATTTTACGATTGGTCATAGCGGATCGAAACTTTTTTATTTGAAGATAGACACCTAGTTGCTTCAGAGAATATAATTAGAAACGAAAAATAAATTTTATGAAAAACTCTGTTGTCTATCTGTCATCTACAGAGGTTTCTTTTACTCCTCTATCACCTGCTTCAAGAGTTTTCGAGCTCCATGAAGGAGTGGCTTGTTTTACCGTGGCATCATTGAGAAAAAATTTCTTATAGTTCAAAGACAGAGAAATTCCCTGTCATCATTCAACAAAAAAGCTGAGAATTGACATCTTGTTTGCACTTTTATTAATAACTATTTTCAAGATCATAGTTAAAGGAAAACAATTGATATATGAATTGAGAATGAAATGACTAAAACAGAAAATCTCAAATTTCCACTGGTAGATTAATTGACCAAATTGTGTAAGGATTTCATTAGGAGCACATGTACTTTTTGTATGTTGACTACTTCATGTAGTTTGTCTTAATGTCGATTGTCATATGCACATAGTGTGTGTATTTGTCCATTTTTTGAGTTTCATTTTCTAGTTTGAAGTCGTTTTCATTATATTTATTGTCTCTATCAATGAGGATTTCATTAGGAGTATATTCATTTTTCTGAGTTAGTTACTCTGTGTATTTGTCATTATTGTCAGTTATCATATGATGTTATTTCTGTATTGTTCTTTTTGAGTTTTATCTTCAGTTTTTACTGTATTCATTTTCTATTCAGTAAACATGACAACTGACACCAATGTCAAATATACAGAGTAGCCACCTCAGAAAAAATGCGTGTGCTTCAAATAAAATCATCAGATATAGTCCATTGAATAGTTAATACTTAAATGAAATAAATAAAAAACACTTGTCTAAATACCACTGGTAGATTTTATTTATACGACCGGTTTCGGGTTTGACCCTATTATCAAGTATAAAACTGAAATCTGAAGTTTGAAATATCGGTTATATTAGATTTTTCAGGAATGCTGCAAGGACAGGTATTTGAGAGCCAGGTATTTGGACAAATCAAGATGCCAACTTTCAAAATTCTAGGTCATTAATCACACAGAATAGTTAATAAGGTAGTGACTAATATTTCACAATATAAATAAAAATGTTGTACACATTTAAACTCTCTCCAGGAAATTAAATTGGGTGGATATGTGGTAAGTATTCTTGTGGCCAATATTTTAGTCAGATATTGCATGGATTCTGACAGCTCTAAAATGTTCAAAGGATAAACATTCAACAAAACTATCCAAAAAGGGTGTTTTAACTTGGTTTTAAATTGTTTTCAGTAATAACTTTGAAAATTCATTCATTACAAGCTTGCAAATCAAAACCCAAAAATTTATACTACATTCAGATTCGATTGTCATTTTTAATCAAATATAAAATTTATGTTATAACACAATACAAAAAATAAATTACTTTCAAATAAATAAGTTAACAATAGTCTTACTACTGAAGGTACACCTACTACTAGAAAGTAGTATATTTATTAAAACTATACAATATTTACAGTTAAAATATGCTTGGAATGAATAAAACCTACAAAGCGAAAAATTACATAGTTTGATGCATTCCGAAAAAAGGGAAGAATATTTGGTACATCATCCACTATGTAAGTAGAAGAAATTGGTACTACAATCAAGAGATGANATGGTAACAGTACGGCTCTGCCGAACTCTAAAGACCTGAAATTTTTTTTATATTGTTAGCTTCATTAAAATAGCTAACGTTTTGGAAAGTATTTTCGTTTTCAAAACCTAAAAAATTATTGGTGAAAAATACCTCGATTGAAAATATGTATATTTACTTTTTGACACGATTTTTAAAAAAATATTCATTGACAGAATTTATGAATATAAGTTATTGACTAAGCAGACTCAGTGAAATTTTTTTTACCGTACAAAGCTCCTTCATAAACAAAATTCTGTTAAAACTCCATAAAAATAATGTGAAAGCAGATACGGGGACTCGTTTCATGAGGAAACTCCACACTTGCGCAGTTCCATTTTAACCCTGAAAAAAAGTTGACTTCCTACTTCTCCATTATCATTACATGCTATAAAATAAAGTACCCCTAATGCGTCTATCTGTCTGCCTGAATGCGAAACAATGGACGTAATGATTCAAGAGGAATGTTTTGTGTGAAATAGTAAATTGCCTACACTAATAAAATTTTAAAATACAAAAAAATCTACACAATTGTAATTTACAATAGGTGAATTGTATATTTTCTTTTCGTTTCCTCAGGCTTGTCACCTAAAAATCTGTCATTTGAGAATCATATGATATATGGAATGAATAAATGCCATATTTCTTTAAATGAACTGTTCTGAAGAATTTTTTTTCTATTGTTTCAACTGCTTTAGATTGTGTTGTGGTTTGTGGGCTACCAATAAAGATGTGAAAAGAAGTTGAAGACAAGGTTTTTCACTCAAAACTTTGAAGGACACCTAAAGATTGAAAGTTTTCCACGTAAGTAAAATTTTATATTGCAGCGCTCTCATGTATTAGGTTGTGTAGCTTTCCTGTAAATATCTTTTTAATTTTTGATACGAATATTTGAAGTACAAACTGAATAGAAAAAGTGATTTCAGGGTAATTCAATGTTCATATATTTGAAAGTAGTTGTTTTGGATTTGATCTTAACATTTTGTGACAGGTGTTTTTTAAATTATTTCATTACTTTCTTCAGAATTTCCCACTTTCTATATACTGATGGAGAAGTAGAAAGCCAAAAGGTTTTTTCGCGAAAACCAATCTCTTCTAAAAAAATGCCCCTTTTATATTTCACAACCATTCACTTATTTCCAATGACAAATTGAAATATTCAAATTTTCATTAACTTCTTCATGAATAAAATAAGCTAATAAAAATATAAATTCAAGTCCCAAAAACATTTTTAGAGGAGTTATTTATAGGAATTGATATGCGTTATGACAAAAAAATGAGACCAAGCAAATATTTTTGAGACAATGGTCTCATTCGTGCTAATTTAGTTTTTATTGAAAATTATATATTATAAAAGTAAATCATCTCCCAAGTATCCCACAATATTTTCCGGTTTTTATGTCAATTAACAACTGAGCAAGAGCAATTGAAAATGTGATATCGCCCGCGGTACATCCTGACGTCACACCAAGCAATGAGCTTCGAGCGGTGGNGTCAGTACCGGATTTCTGGGATCAACTTTACAGGAGCTCCTAGAATTCGAAGCTTGGTTAGGTTAGGATTATGAAGAAAAGCTGAAAAGCTTCATGACCCATTACAATCTAGTATAATAGATTGAAGTGCCTGGACAAAAATAATTGAAAAAATGGTTTACCCTATTTTCAGTATCAAATGAAATTGAAAAATTGGAGTTACAAGTTGCTGTTACTGTGGAGAGGTTATAGAAACAGCAAAATATCTCTTTGTAGATAGTGATTAATAGACAAACTCAATAAACAAAAATGATGTGGAGTTCCAGATGTATTCAAAAGTAGAAGACTGTAAACTGGCCTTAGTAAAACATATTAGATAACAGGTGAACTCACATTAAAATTATTGATATCAATATTTTTAACAATCAAAGGAAGCTAATCCAAGAAACAAATTAATGAGGTAAATGATCAAAAAAAATATGTTGCTAACAAAATGTATAGAAATGTCATCTTACTACTTGAAGAATGTTCAGACAAAATAATTTATTTCCTGCAAAAAAAGTCAATAGGATTTATGTACAATTATTAAAATGTGACAACTCTAAGAAATATATAACGATTTTACATGTATAATGAAATCTTAAATGAAAATTACATCAAATAAAGTTCATTCGACACCACAAAAAGGTAAGCATTTAGTTGAGTATAAAGGAAAAAACAAAAATGGATAATAATCATGGATAATGTAAAAAATCTAGTACCAATTTCTGAAGTATCCAACATATGACCCAAAGTACCAAGCAAATCTTCGCTGACTAATAAAATCAGAAATGAACGAATTTTCACAACGAAATCCGTAAAATTGAAAATGCTCTAATAAAAAGAGCTACCCTGTACAATATTCACTTACCGGTAAATATTAATTTTTCCAAAGGAAAACTTTCGAAATTCGTCAGTTCATACAGTATCACTGGGATGATTATTATCATCTCGATCTTTAAAAAATCCTTTTTCTGTCTTACACTCTCGAATCGTTACAGTTTCATGGTTGACGGTGACGTCAGTTATAAAAACCTGATCAGCGACAGGGTTCCTCGCTAGCCAGTAGGCATAACCTGGACTAGTGAGAAGTGGAGCACTTTCCTCGACATTACTCTTGTTGTGACCGTTGACAGGGGCTGGTTTTTCTTCACATCCCTCGTTCTCAGTATTGACTTCCGGTTTTTTCTCAGGCCTCTTCTCGTCTGTTCTTGATGCAACCCCCTTGGGAGATGCGGGTTCTTTGTTAGATGAATGCGGAAGGGTAGCATCACTCAATATCAGTCTTTTGTCTGTGCTCGTCCTAGGAGCTGCGGCCGTGGCAGGACTCGCTGCTGAAGGAATAGCTGAAGTTTCCTCTTCGCTTTTTGATCCTTGNCGCTTTTTTGTGAAATTTTTGACTGGAACAGTACTTCAGCAGCATCAGATACATTTGAAAGTTTTATTCAAATCTGTTAAACTTTTATGAAAATGTCTTTCCCAAACAAAAATCAAATTTAAAAACTGAAGGCCTGAACAACAAAGGAGTTTATGGTATCAGCTGAAAATATGTGCTCACTTCATCACACAGATAATGATACACCGACAAAAAAAAATTGCTGCAAATATTCAATAAAGTGCCTATGCAGAACGTTAAAAAGTTATGAAAAGTTATCAGTCCCCTGACCGATAGGCCAGCCGACTCATTGAACAAACACATGACCTCACCTCAGTCGGGAATCAAAATTCTAGTACCGAACCGACTACAGAATTCTAGAAAGGACCTTTACCGATATAAGCCAGTCTTCCCGGCCTAAGTGGGCAGTTCAGAAGGCGAATTGATTGGCTAAAAAAGAAATTTAAATAGTAGAAATGAATTAAGCGTTAGTTGCTAAGTGTTGTAATAAATAAATTAGATTGTGATTAGTGAAATATTGTTGGAAATAAATTTGTTTAAGACAGTTAATTCATTAATTTGTCACAATATGATATTTTCATTAGTTATCAATGTTATGCAAAAACACAGGCTGATAGTAAATAGCCTTGATTCTGGGCAAAACCAATTGAAAGTATCCTTACCGTTATGGCCAACTGTACTACTTATTTCACTCTCTTTTGGGAAACTCTTATAGAAGGAAATGTTAGAGCTAATAGTGTGTTTTGACCTTTTTATCTGCACCTTTTTATCTGCACAAATTGGAATCACATCAGTCTGTGAATTTTTATAGACAATAAGTTTTTCATGCTACTTAGGGCCTCCTTATTTTGGTTTCGATTTCTGTAATACCTTTTTGAAATTTCAACCTGAACCGTTTTGCACATGAATATTACTGGAGTTTTTTCCCAACACCAAACTGTTATTTTAACATTTCGACACGTATTTCGATCACCAAATGATCATCTTGAGATACGTGTTTCGATCACCAAGTGACCATCTTCAAGAGGAAGATCAAACTGCACATAATAATCTGATTTCTGGCAAAGTATCTTTTATATATCTGACAAAATTCAGGGTATCTGTAGTTCACTTACCTTAACTGGAGGGGGACTAGAACTAGTAGGACTACTGGTAGTAATCGTAACACCAATTTTTCCACTTTCCTTCGACAAAACTTCTGCTTTCCTTTTTGTCCCAACAAGATCCATCCTAGCCAGTAAAGGTTTTCTGTCGTCACTACTGGAACTATTTGAATTTTCATTCTCAGCAGTTGATACTGTTGGCGCAGAAGTACTCTCTGACGTTTCCTCAGAACCTATAAAAATTATGTTTATTATATTTTCAAAACGGATATCAACTGAACATACCAGTACGAGTTTCATCATCTTCTGCGCTAGCAATACTTTCATGTTTGGGTTTAACTTCGGTGGTGGTGGTGGTCTCTGAAGGACCCTCATCCTGACTCTCTTCTCCACTACGTAAGCCATCATCTTCCGTATCTTCCGCTACTGGAGCAGCAAGTCTTTCTTTCTTTTTGGGTCCTCTTTTGGCTGGTCCATCTGACTTATGTGACTGCTCATAAAGAACAATTAAACGATTATCCAGAATATTTTCTTCGGGTTCCCAGGTGTTATGCCTCTGACTCCAGCCTTTCCATTTTACAAAATACTCCACCACTCCCTGCAAAAAGTCATTGGTCTCATTACTTGTATTAACAATACATATTCTCATGATATATTTCAAATTCATCTACTCAATATTATCATTATTATTTTTCAAAACTCGCACTGTATAAAAAAGTAAATTAAGATACCCAAATGGAAGAATGGAACATTACGATACAAGCATTCATTGCTTAGGTATGTTCTATGTATCCTTTGTGTTTACGATGTATTTTTTATAGTAGATATTGTACCAAACAAAAAAGGAATAAATAAAAAAAAATGGGTGAGCTCCTGCTCTATTATGTCTTACTCTAAAGTAACGCTAATGATAGTAGCACATCTAAAATACACAGAACAAATATACACACACACACTCTCTCTCTCTCTCTCTCTCTCTTTCTATGACATTGATAAAGGCCTCATTCCAAATAGTCAATTGCTCACCCTCTACAATAATAATTAGAAATAGAAAACAGGTAAATATTGGGTCCATAATAGATAGTCACTAACATAAGAAACACAACATCAAAACGGTTTTCAAACCCACCAAGAAGATTCAACAGAGGCTCAGGTCGGTTAAAGACAAAAGAGATCCACTATAAGCAGCAGAAGTTTATCACATACCGTGCACTTGTGGAAAGGTATACATCGGAACCACCAAAAGATACATGGGAACAAGACTGAAAGAGCATGGAAGAAACTGCAGACTAGGCCAAACAGATACGTCAGCTGTGGCAGAATACACACTCAGTGAAACAAACCACAGGATTCTGTTTGAAAACACGGAACTTATTGCTTTCGACCAGGGATACCATAGCAGACTGGTACGGGAGGCAATGAAAATTCACAAACCCACGGATAATTTCAACAGAGAAGAAGAAGCTGTGAACCTCAACCGAATATGATAAAAAAGGCTTCACACAACTGATGCGTATTCTAACTTTGATCTTATGAAAGCATAAGATAGAGTTTTTAAGGTTGAAGTTTCTTTAAAATCACTACTGTTACATGTAATTAATCCGTATATACGACAGGAGGAGGTTACAACATTATCAATATGCTTATTAAATGTTACATGTAATTACATGTAATTAATCCGTATATACGACAGGAGGAGGTTACAACATTATCAATATGCTTATTAAATGATAATGCAGTGTCAAATATGACGCCAAGATCAGTAAATGTTTCTGTTTTAACCATCAGAAAGAGAGCTTAAATTTCAATAAATATTTGGTACCTGCACTTCAGAACACACATATTATCCCAATAACTCAAAAAGAGTCGGCCATGCAGGTAAGAAAACTAGGAAACTTTCGACTTCCAGTCAGAACTTTCACTTTGTGTATCACAGCAAGGCAGTTCAACTAATGCCACAGTGCCTTTGATGTCTGCCGCAGTCGCAGACAAAATGTCAGGTCTACCTGCAGAGTACAGCTAAGAATTCCGAACACGGCAAATGATTTGTTAACCAGCTATCGCCCGCTTACAAAACACAATCCTCAGAAGTCGAAACCTGGGCGAGGTAGGGATTAACGAGGTCTTACCTTGGAACGTGTGATTCTTACCAGGGGTAGGACGATAGGCAGCAAAAATCAATCTTCCATTTGTTCGATTAAACGAACCACTCATGCTCAACCAACCAGCTACGACTCCATCTGAACAAATACATACCTATACCTTATAAATACCATTGAATTTCTTTCTTGACCTCCAATATGTCATTTCAAGTAATACAAAAAAATGCTTTAAAAAAATTTTATTTCAAAAATACGTTACTTAATATTAACAGAAATCAACTATCAACGAACTTGTATAATACAGCTTATTCACAATATCAAGAGACAATCTTGGCTTTTTCAATTAACATCATTACTCATCATCATTATGGGTTTTGATTGCAAGCTTATTATTTCATTATGTCATGGTGTAATTGAGATTTATTACGTACTCTCAGAAACTTTTTTGTTCGTCTATAAGAGTTTGAAAATTCATATGAACTTTCTATTAGAAAAGTTATATATTTTTTTGGATATTAGAGATGG